ACGTATGTGGGCACACATGGCAAGACAGGGATATTGTGTGCAGACAAACAGGCAATGGACAGCGGGCATATATCTTTGTAGTAATGAGCTTAAGTTTAAACAAGATGAGAAAGGCCTTCATTTTAGAAGAGCTGTATTGCTACTAATGACTAGAGGGCCTCCAACTACCATCTCAGCCTATTATAACTTAGAGAAGGCTCTTCTGTGTTTTTAAGATGAATGCAAATTAAAAAGCATTAGGCTCCATTCATTTGCGGTCTTTGGCATATAGGCCACTTTTGGTCCGAGGGCCACTTAAGGCTGCCTTATTTCTTCAAATGACCTTGAAATGAAAGACAGAGGAAGTTTTAATGATTTAGAGGGCTCTTAAAGACTCGAAAGGAAAAGCAATACAAGGCCTCATTAAAATTTTCATTTAAACATTAAAAAAGCTTTTTGTTACAAATGTTCCTGCCAGAAAGCTGAGTTGATACACAAAGAGGGCCGTAAGAGTATCCTGCATCTGAGCCAATTTCATGTCAATGCATCTCCTCATCCCTTCATCAGTGATTCTATAAATTACAAGGCTTATTTGGCTGCTTTATCATTTTCTTTGCGAGACTCTGGGCTTGAGTGTGTGATAAACGACGGGCTGTGGAGCGTTGCGATTTTGGTGCAGGGCCTGTGAATGACCTGGGGAATGCTGTGTGTCACTTTATATATAGCTTCTATTTCCTCACCGCCTGCTCTTCCGCTGCACATGGTATTATTTCAGTTTGAGTGTATGTGTGCGTACGTGAACAAAGACTGAGACATATCCCATCACCCCCTAAAATTCCTTCATTCCCTCCTCCATTGCTCCCTTATTTCCCCAACGACTCGGCGCGCCTTGTAAAAACCTTAGCCTGGCTGCTCTGCGCCCTTTAAAATGTAAAGCAATATTACCATGCCTGACACTTTGATCTCTGTTACTATGGTATTGTTTCAGAGGTCCAGTGAATGTAAGGAAAGCTGTCCAGAGTTAAGCGTGTGTGTGCCAGGATTAAGACATAGTTTCCACACTGAAGGAAAATATGTAACTGATGAGAGCACTGTAATACTGTTTGTTTGTTACAGGTGTTCAAACATAAATGACAAAAAAGGTGTCTGGCATACGGATCGGGAACCTGCGTAACTTCACCTCTCGTGTGTTTAGTTATTTACAGCTCTGACAACAAAAAGCCTTGAACTGTTCTGCAAACTACACAGCACCCTTTGTGTCACAGGCAAAACAGGAAATCAGGCTTTTGTCCGCTCGAGATGGCATCAAAAAACACCTTGTTTCATCTGTCTTAAGCAATCCCATCTTGACGCCTTCACACGTCCCCATGTGGGGCTGTGTGCTCCTCAGAACAGATTGGGAAACAGCACAAACGATCTGCCGGGGAAGTCCCAGCGGGCTGCCATAACATGCTCGTTTGCCGACGTACCTCCTCTACTGCACGAGCCCATGTTTGATTTCTCTCAGGTCGCCCCTCCTTTTCTTTCTCTCCTGCTCTCACTTCTATCACACGCTCATTTTGCTGTCTATATCACCTTCTTTCTTTCCTTGTCCCTGACACTCTCTGTCAGCTTGTTGGCCTGTCTGTGTCTCTTTCTCCTCCTCCTTCACACCTCCTCCTCTTTCTCTTTAGCTTTCAAATACCTGTTAGTTGGCTGTGTCTTGTAGAAATGCCAGCAGTGATTGTCTCCTTCATCCACAATGCAATGATAAGGCAGGTGTTCTGCTGCTCAATCCATTTGCCTTCTTTTCTTTTGTACCTCGTGCAGGTATTGCAACGCCAAACACTCAAAGCAGGCCAGAAGAAAGATATATAAAAAAGATTAGAATGCTTTTTTCATGTTACATTGTGTGTGTGTTACATTGGCCTTTGTGGACGCCTGGGCAAATGGAGAAAAGCGCTCTTAATGTTTACTTCACATCTTAAAGAATGCATCGCTCTATCTTCTCACCCTTTACTGATGCGATGCTGAAAACTGTACAAACAATATTTACCTCTTCATTTTCTAAAAAAAACATGCTTTACTCATGGGGGTGAAAAAGTTTTACAGATTCAGCTGTTGGAAGTTGCATTACACCTGTTTGCAGAAAAAACAACAGGTTCTGCTTTGGTGCATACCCCCAAATACAGGAAGCAATAAATAATAAGATTTCATGTTGAGTATTTGTGCACGGGGGACAATGGTTTCCTGATATCTCAGGTGTAAAGCTTTGGTGGATGAATCGCAGGTGTAGGAGATATTGTGTGGTGGATGGAACACAGGTGCCGCAGTTATTTCCGGTCTGTGCCGTTAATCACTAACCCTGAAGCTGAAATATGGCTTGCAGTTTAGTGGTTTTAAAATAGAGTTCCCTTGACGGCATAGACATAATAATAATAAGGGCAAGATAAAGTCAGGAGACTGAGAATGTTTCATATAAATATGTGCTGCAAAATATGTTCTGATTTATCAGCGAATGTAGGCTCAAAGTGTGTAAGATAATAGAAACTAAAAAGGATCTGATGCTGTTGGCCTGATAACAATAATTTGACAGTTCAATTCCTATGCAGTAATCAGGACTTTGATGTAAGGAGCTGATTAATAACTAACTTTAAAAACGGCTGTTAACGGATTTAATGTGCAAATGCAGCCTTCTAAGTAAGAAGAACAAATGAGCGAGGACAAGCGAAGTCCTAAAACAGGAACACTTTTTTTGTTGGGCCAAAAACGTGTGTGTATTTATGCACATGCAATATAGATTTAAAATCCATAGATTACCTTATACATTAGCATACTGCAAACAAACAGAAACACAAGACTAAGGGCTTGTTTATCTAAAATATGATCTGTACGACTTCCTGTTCATTTATGATGGACCCATAAAGGAGTCAGAAAGTGTCAAAGGTTTCCATCAGAAACAGACTGTGTAAATATATGATTATAAGCCGTTTATCCTCGTTAAACGATGACAACATCGTAACGCCAATATGCAAGTGGCCTCAGATGTGATGTTGGTCAATATCTATTGACAGACAAATCATTGTTGTTGTTCTTTCGTTTCGTCATTGTCTAGGCCCAATGCATGAGGGGCTAAACTGGGAGCGAATGTGATTGGATTTTCAGTCTCCGTCATTAAATTCCCATGCGGGGAATACTAATTCCAGTATTTAGTGCGGTGATGCTAGGGCTTGCTTTCATCTTAAACTGATTCCAGTCTAATTAGATTGGGCATGTGGGGGGTGGTGGATGTATCCGTCTGGACTAATCCCTGCCTCTCTGTCCCAAACATTGTATTATCCAGAGAAAATCCATTGGCTGCAGGCTATTCAAAGGCAGATCTGCCTGAACTGCAGCCTCTGCACTGTATCATCTGGAAAGCTGTGGCTGGAAGGGTGCTCTGTGCAGAGGGTGGAACCTAATGGTCATGAGTGATCTATGGGTCGCAGAAAACGCCATTTCGAATTTACAGTAAACCTTTTATCGTGTATACAGGGCAAGACCGCTCACTGCTGAGGTGTCTTTAGCAAAACTGTGTCCAAACTATTCTCTTCAGAGGGCCTTTGTAGGAGGTGAATGGCACCCAAAATATGCTCACAACTATTGCAGTCTACGTGAAAAGAAAACATTGGTGCTACCCTTGTGTACACACACACATACACTGTGCATAGATCACCCTGTCATCTTGCTTGTGAATTACTAGCAAACCCCAGTGAAAACACGGTGTAAAGAGGTCCTTCTTCTGAAAAGGCCAGAAAAATGAAAGGCCTTCAGCCATTGTTCTCCTCAAAGGTCAAACGAAATTCAATCCCATAATATGGCGGGGGGAGCACTACGCTACCTCTGCAACTGTTTTCGCTTTAAGGGTGAGCAACAGGAAAGGGCCATTCAGCAGAACAGTTGCACCCTGTGCACCGAGCACATTCGTCAAGGACGAGGGGTGAAGTCAGGAGGGGGGAGAAAAAGCTGTTTTTGTGGTTTTTACATGTCGCGGCCGTTTCACTGCACACTGAAGTGTGTTAAGCGAAACAATAAAGGCTACAAGCGATTCTGCCAGAGTGAAAAGATCCTCATCTTCCCCTTCATTTTTGCTGCCCTTGTGAAATTTCATTAGGTGGATTTAACGACTTGTGAATGTCGGCTTTCTCCGTGACCCTGACACTGGTGGCGGACACGTCCCGCTGGCAGGGTGTGATGTATTGTGTTGAGGTTTTCCTGAGGTGCAATTTTTAATGTGACAGCATCTGTTGACCTCCGATCTAAAATGTCCCCCTCCTGTCTGACACTGACACACATTTCGTTTAATAATACAATTTTAAAAGCAGTAGTCGGCAGCACAAAACTCAATTTCACAATCATTTCATCTATCTATGTGTCTCTCTACCTACCAACGTATCTATCTATCTATATATGTATCTACCTATCTAACTAAATATCTAATTTGAAATTGAGACTAAATGTTATGTGATTCCCCCTTTCCTTGTCCTTACATACATACAGGATCACCATTCTTAGGTAATAACAAATAACCCAAATGTATGTTTATCCGTGTTTGTGATTTATCATTGTGGGCATTTTTTTCTTTTTATGGGAGGGGTCTAGAGCTGCACCTGATCAGATCCAGATTAGCACACACTTCCAAACATAATCCCCAGCATCTGCTTAGAGTCAGATTACCACAAATAGCATAATGACGGGAAATACCCATTATATGATTCGGAAATTCAGTCTGTCAGGGACTGGAGTAACAATCATTAGAGGGATGTTGACACAATACATACTTTGTTAGCAGTCAACTTGAACATTTTTGTATGATGCAATTGACAAGATCTAACCCAGAATTGAAAAAAAAGACAGTTGTATTGTGGGAAATAAACTTGGATGTATTATATATTCTGATTACAAACTAATCAGATACATTAAAAACAAGCCAATACAACTTCATGATAGGATGAGAACATTGAATGGTGAAAATGGAATAAAGAACATGTGATTAGACAAGATTGGTTTGCAGATACAGTTTTTAATGTATCACAACAATGAGCAACAAACATACTTGATGAACTATTTCCAGAAGTTGTTCAAATACCATCTACAATAAACGTCATTTCAACTATGACAACAGGTCTGTGACAAAATAAAAAAAAGGTTTCAAAACCATGTTATTACCGTGATACGGTACAGTTGAGACCTCAAACAGTACAGTAACAAAAACTAATGCGACTACTCTCTATATATAAAACATCAATAACATTTTTGGTTTAGTTTATTTAAAGTTTTAGCCATAGGGGCTTCTTCTTATTAAAACCTCAGGGTGCATTTCCTATGTAACCCAGATGTTGAAGAGTACATATTGTGTAGGATATGATTGCGCCATGAAAATCCCTTTGACATCCAGAAGAACAATTCCAATTTCAGCCTTTTGAAGGCTGTCCTCATAAACATGACACAATCCATCCATTTTTTTTAAAAAGTTCTTTTTTTTTTCTTTTTGGCTGCTGTGCAGTTGCAATATCTATGTACAGTTATATTGTTGGACCATCCTCTTTGTTGGTTTGTTAGCTTTTACCAGTCCTTGGTGTGGAAAGCGTCCTGTCTGATGCTAACATCTTAGCACATGATGCTAGCTGACAGTTCAGTCTTATAATGCTGAGCCACAGAGTGGGGAGAGGCAAAAAGCCAGAGTTGTGAAGCCTTTGGAATCAGGACAGTCGCTCATGTTTGTACAATGGCAGAATTGCACCTTGGGAGGCCAGGATGTCTCTTATGAAACACAATCGAAAAGTGTCTTCAGGATTAAAGTAAATGTTAAAATACTAAAAATCCAAATAATGACAATTAAAAAGCTCACGCAGAAAATGAAAACTGACATTTTGCTTTAAAACTTTGAAGAAAAAAAAAACACCTTTACAATAATAAAACAGAAGAGGAAATGTTACTGGATTTCATTGTTTGAAACAATAACTAAGCATGATTTGATTTAACCTGTCAAACAGTTGCATTACATGCTACTTGCTCATCTCAGAATAGGAAATACCAAAAGCAATACATTTTTGCATTTCTTCATATTAATAAATTTGTACCATGCACAGCCAACTACGAATATGTACAACAGCTTAGCTTTCTTTGTTCACAAGTCTTCGTCTTTCATACAAATAGCCTTCTGTTACTTTGGAATGAATCACATTGGTTTCAATTACCAAACTAGAAAGTGATTCGTAAAAAATTGAACACCCTTTGACAGCTTTCACATTCTTAGTTCCACAGCAAAATAACAAAATAATATCAAATAAAAAATAGCAAAGCAAAGCAATTAATGGATCAGTATTTTGTCTGGTAGAAAGTTGAGAGAATTTATGGCAAGCAAAATAACATTACACAGTAGCAGCAAAACTTTGTAAGGTAATACTTTGCAATGTTGAAATCATTTAAAAATTAAAATGTCGACTTTATCTGTAGATCATCAGAAGTGCCCGGAGAATTGATGGGAGGACGTCAACCTATGCAGTAAATGGCTGCGTTTAGGTGTAACACTGTTTTTAGTCCTACAAGTACATGAAAAATGTTTTTAATATACAACAAAAATGCTGTTGTCCCCCTTTTAAAGCAGCATAATTGCAAACGTAAATAATCATACCTTTTTTTTAACATTGTGACCAACTTGTACCTTAACAGTTTCAAGTATACAGTACTGCTTTCATGGATGCACCAATTGTTAAATAGGTCTATAGATTGTTAGGCATCAATCCTGTAACAAATATGGACCAATATGCTGCTGCAATAAACACAAATAATAATTAAACACAAACATACATACAAACAAACAAAAACCTATTAAATTAACAAATGGCCTACTCAAAAAAAAAGAAAGACAAATAAAAAAAAAATAAGTGCACTATAGTCCAGACACAAGCAGGTACCGTAACAGTACAGCAATTCACAAATGAAAAATGTTATATTCACATAATCCGAGAGAGTCTATCAAAACTAGAGTTATTACCTCTTCAGAAAAGGGTGTAAGCGGAGGTCAAAGTGAGAAGGTAAGAGTTGGCACAGATTAGTATATACTACAAGAAAAAAAGGGGGCGGGAAATAGATACAGCTTGTTGTAATACAAACTGGCAAACACAGGGGCATCATACACATTTACTTCACCATTCTAAATTCCCTCAGTGGCAAAACCATACTGTCTTTATAGGGCAAAACTAAAAGGATATGCACATCGTCCACTGTAACAGTAATATTGTCTCTTGGTACTCTATACACATCAAGGAAATGCGTCCGATAAAGCTTGACATGTTTTGGTTATAAGCCAAGTGTACCCAGGCTTGTTGCTGCTTTAACAAATGAGAAATGTTATGTTCTGACCTGAGAATTTAAAGCTACTGAATTACACCTATCTAAACTAAGAGAGATTCTCTTTGAGGGTTCTGGATCGTCATCCCATACAGTACATGCTAGCATTTGGAAAACAATCCAGCTGAGGTGCAATTTGCTATCGTGAGAGTTTTTGGCTTGAAACAAGCCCCCCCAAGGGAGCCTGTGGGATTTTTTCCTACTCCATGTTTTTGTATACAATATAAGCTCAGTCAAGCATCTGCAACAGTTCTGTCCATAACAAAAATCAATCAATATCTTGCCAGCATATCAATATGGGAAAAACAATCCTGAGTCAATCATTTGGTACTGTAATTTTTTGGGTTAAGAGAAACTTTGGAACTGCAGTTTAAAAAGTCTTATTTTTTTTCTTTTTTTTTCTTTTAGCAAGGGATCCTTTTGCCACTCCTACACACTGAACATATCCATTCTGATACTACTGAAGCTCGCGTCTAGGCCAGAGGCCGACTTAGCCTTGACTTCCAACGCGTTATCTAAGTCTTCCAGCTTCTGGCTTAGCTCATTGTCAGACTCATCTGAACAACTCTCGGTGGGTAGTGAGGTTGGAACCCCTGAGGTGCTGCAGGAAGTTGAGGTAACCGTTGAAGGTGAGGAGAGGGGGGGGAGGAGGAGAGGCAGACGGGGAGGAGGAAGCAGCTTTCCGGGCTGAGGTGGCCTGGAACAGGACATTTGGCCAGGACTTCATGGACAAGTGAGAGAGATGTGGAAAGGTGTTATTAGAAGAAGCTGCAGACTGCGAGGTAGATGTGGTGTTAGGAGGAGGGGAGCAGACAGAGTGAGGTAATAATCTAGTATGCTCTTTGGCATTTCTCATTGCTTGTTTGATTGTTTTCTCTTTGTGCAAGCTCGACTGAAGGTGTTGGCCAAGTGCTTCATTCCCGTTAACAACCACATTGCAGGCAACACAAGTGTAGTTGCTCACTGCCTTTCGAAGCACTGTCTCTTGCGGGGTCAGTAACAGGATGTCCTAAGTAACAGAAGGACTTCTGATGACGCACCACAGAATCTTCGTCAGCAAAAATCATCTGGCACTTCCTGCATATAAACTCATGCTTGACGGACGGTACAATAAAAGCGTCTGGAAAATCTATGGTACTTTTGGTATCTGTTTTCGGTTCTTCTTTTGTGCTTTCTTTTGAAGAGCCTTTATTGGTGTTATCCTTAGCCTTTATAGCTTCTTTTGGTTTGAGGGAGTTGGTGGTGCTCTGTATGCTCTGGGGTGTCTTCACAGAATGTAGTTTCTGTAGCTTCAGTTGTTGTTTCTGATGCTGCTCAATCTGTTTCTGCTGCTGCTGCTGTTGCTTCTGCAGGGAATCCTGGAGGGACTGCTGATACTGCTGGTACTGCTGCAGGAGAGCGGTCGTGGAGAGACCAGCGGCCATGGCAGCTTGTGGGACTGCTCCTGGGCCATATGGAAACAGGTTCTCCATTCCGCACATAGGTGGGAAGTAGCCACCAGCTTGGACCCCTGTAGGAAGCTGGGGAGAAAAGCAGTTCTGAAATCCAGGTAGAAAGTAGGGCAGGAACTGGCTACCCAAGAAAGAGCTGGGATCACTTGTGGCAAGAGCATTCTGAAGTGCCTGAAGCTGTGCGACGTCTAGTTGAGTCTCACTTGCTGCTTTCCCTTGAGCTGGACCATGTTTCTCCCTTTTCTTGGCCATGCTGGGGGTCGCAGGGCGTAGGCCGCTCTCGTTCTCTCTGTCCTTCGCCTTCATCTGCGCTGGCCTGTCTCCAGATTTCTTGCTGCTGTCTCTCTCTGTGTCTTTACCTTGCTGCTCTGTATGATTTACTGCTGCCAAAGGTGTGGAGGGAACAGGGAGGAGGAAGAGGAGGTGGGAGGAGGAGGAGGAGGAGTCTGCAGAAGAGTCTTGGTTGGGGTAGTGCTGAGAGACATGGCAGGAGAGGGGGTGGCTGGTGTAGGGAACCCAAGCATGCCAGCACCGGGAGACGCTAAAGCTGAAATACAGTGGTATATAAATATGGAAATATTTAATATTTAGATAGTCAAACCAAAATCACTATGGAAATTTAATGTTTATATGAAAAGATATAGGTGCTTAATTTGTCACTGGCTGAGTCTTAAACACTCTTGATAAGATTTTGTTATGGATCAAAACTGTCACATGCGCTTTATGATTATTTCAATCTGCCAATATATTATAATATAAATATACCAAACCTATAATAAGGAAACAACAAACAACACAAACAAAAGCCATGATATAGACACATTTGTTGTAAAAAATCTCTGAAATATCAATTAGCAGTTCAACTCTGATGATGACATTATGCATGCACTCCCACCATTTTGAATTTAAAATAGTTTTAAAAATAAGACTTTTTTGACAAACACCACTGTGATACAGAACAAACAGTAGTATAGTAGAAGAAAATAGTGCATGATAAAGTTCAGTTCATAAAGCTTCTAGTCTATTAAACTTTTTTTTTCACTGTCATACTAACTCACCGGGTGTGTTGGGTGGGAAAACAGGAAGTGATGATGGCCCATTGACCCCGGGAAGTAGCACTGGCGGAAGGCCAGATAACCCTGGGTAGCCTGAGGGTAGGCTGAGGCCATGAAGTGCATTATTGTTGTCCACTGCAGTCCTGTGCTGCTGGCCAGGCAGGATGAGTCCCTCACCAACTTTCATCATGCGGTCGAAGCTCTTGCTGGGCCATCAGTTGACGGACAGTGGTCGGTGCTAGGTAGTCCTTTTCTCTATCGACCTGGTTTACCAGGATTTCTTGCACTTTGGCCGATATGCTGTTTGGAAAGATGTGGTCTCGGACGGACATCCGGGCTGTGTACTTTATACAACACAGAGTACACTCAGGCCGGGGCCCTTCTGGTGAGCCTTGACTTATCATAAATGGCTTTCCAATGTTAATCTTGAATTTCTTTTCTTTAGCACGGGCATTCTGGAACCAGACCTGGACCACACGCTTGGGGAGTCCAATCTCATTGCCGAGCATCTCACACTCTTGCATTGTTGGAGTGCGGTAGTCACTAAAACAGGCTTTGAGGACTTTCAGTTGCAGGTTACTCATCTGCGTCCTGAATCGTTTGTGGCCTGGCCTATCCCCAGAATTGCTGCCTTTCCCCGACTTGAAGGGGTTGTTTGTCCCAAAGGGACTAGGAGAACTGGGATCAGCAAGGCTTGAAGATTCACTTCTGTCATTGAAGTCATCCATTTCATCGTCTCTGTAGCTGTAGTAAGAGTCACAGTCCCTTCCGGGGAAGCTGAGGGCAGGGCTCACCATGCTGTATTGGTATCTGTCGTTGCCGCCATCAGAACTTGATGCAATGCCACTCTTGTTGTCACTCAGCTTGTCTCCTCCATTGGTTGTGAGGCTCTCAACCTCATTGTTATTACCCTCATCTCCAGTTGTAGCATCGCTAATGGCTGTATTAATAGATGATGTCTCGTCAAAGTCCATCCTACTAAAATCATAAGATGAGGCTTCGGCTGAATTATTATTAGGCCCTTCAATTTCATCACAGTTTTCAGCTTTTAAGGATGAAGGGCTCAAGAAGTTTTTTAACTGAGCCTCAGATGGTTTGACTGGAGTTGAGGATGCAGCAGGCAGCTCATACTCATTTGGCTCAGTCTTGGTAGGCAGCTGTGGGTAGTCAAAGAAGTTATACTTATTTGGGCTTTCACCTCTTTCATTGTCTTGATTCATCATAGGGCTCGCTGGCAAGCTAAAGCCTGCTTGCTTAGCGTCATGCCAGTGTCTAGATCTTATGTGGCTATCTAGAGCAGATTTGGCCTTGAACAGTGCTCTGCAAAAAGGACATTTCTTGTGGGACTGGGAGGGACCTATAGCCCTGAACTGCCCTTTTCTCTCCCTTGCACGGGTGTTCTGGAACCAAACTTGCACTACTCTCTTCTTCAAGCCAACCTCACGTGCAATGTGGTCCAACATCTTCCTTGTTGGGTTAGAGTCAAGTAGGTATTTTTCATAGAGAACCTCCAGTTGTTCAGGCGTGATGGTGGTTCTCAAACGTTTATCTCTGTGTTGTTCTTCACTACTCATTCCACAATCTTTATCGATAGCACTTTCGTCCTTGTCATCAAGTTTTCTCTTCATTGACCCAGAGCCTGCAGCAGAGCCCAAACCAGAGCTTCCCTGAGATGGGATTTGAGGGAGGCCTCCGGATAACAGCTGGCTAGCCATTAGAGGGTTGTTTGGGTCAAATATCATATAGGGCATGTCCATAGGTCTTTCAAGAAACTGAGAGTGAAGGAATTGGTTTTGGGCAGCCAAGAAATGCATGTGCTGATGCTCCTGCCAGAGCTCCATAGTGGGGAATGCAATCTTACACTGGTCACACTGGTACTGAAGCATCTGATGGGGCAGGCTGTTTGTAAGAGAGGAAAGGGCCAGTGAGAGTGGACTTGAGGGCACAGCAGCTGCCTGTGGCTGGGAATGGGGTCTTGACATTTGTTGCTGGGGAGCTTTCTGTGGAGGTGGCTGAGGTGTGCTAGCCTTTGATGGTCGGGGTTCTGGTAGTGACTTCACCACAGGGGAGGGGGCAGTCTCAGTTGGTTTAGTTTCAGTTTCAGGGGCAATTTCTGGCTTTGGGAAGTTTTCCCCATACTGGCATGAGGAGAGGCCATCACAGGGGAGCTTGAACCAGAACTGCTGGCAGTTCCGTGAGACTGTTTGGGAGGCTCAAAAGGTGTTGGGGTCCTAGCTGGAACTGGGTCAATACTGTAATATTCCTCACACGTGCTCTCCTCATTCCCCTCCTCATCCTCATCCTTGTAACATAGCTTTTTCTGATGAGTAATAAGGTCAAAAATGCGTGGGAACACAATGTTGCATTTTTTACACTGGTACTGCATGTTAGTGGTTCTGATGTATCGCTCATTTGTCAGCTCTTTTTTCTCATTATCTTTAGAATCTGCCTGATTTTCATAGCTCTTGCGGGCTTTCTGACGGGCATTTTGGAACCACACCACAATGACCCGGGATGGTAGATTGAGCACAGTGGAAAGTTGCTCAATCTCATCGTCCTTTGGATAGGCATTAGTGTCAAAGAAATCTTGAAGTACCCTCAGCTGGAAATCAGTGAATCTGGTTCTAGAGGACCTCTTGTTGAAGGCGGATTCAGTTCTGTAGTATTCATGCGCACTGAGCGCTGGTTCAATTCGAATATCTTCCAATGTAGTAATTGGAGGAATACTAAAATTGTAGGGAGAGTCCTTACTCCGCTGTCTCTCTTTGAAGAGAGTGTTACGGAACCAGTGCTTTATGACTTTTTGTGGCAAGCCAGACTTCTCTGACATGTCCTGAATTTGATCTTCATTGGGAGAATTGTTAATGTCAAAGTTCGCACGGAGGATCTTCAGCTGGTCATCTGTGATACGGGTGCGTGGTCTTTTAAACTGGGACTGGCGGAGAAAGTTTGGATCAAGACCTAATTGTTGCTGGCAGAGCTGTGAAAGGTCTGAAGAGGAAAGGGACTCCATACCAGGCAGCTGGAGGGCTAGCTGATGTGACAGGCCTGGGTGCTGCATAGACTGCATCATCATAGGTGAAAATAGAGGCATATCCATGGGAACAGGGAGCTGCATTTGAGAAGGTGGTGGTGGAGGGGCAGTAGGTTGTTGAGGAGGGGGCTGTGGCTGGGCTGGTGGTGCCTGGTGAGATGGTTGGTTTTGGGCTGTATTGGGGGCAGAAACTGGTGAAGGTACTCGGGTTTGGGGCTTGGTCATTGATGTAGAGGGAGGTTGAGGAGCAGTCACCGGGGCTGGAGTAGTAGGTGGGGGAGGGGGAGGGGGTGGTAGCGCTGGTGGTGGAGTTTCAGGTGAAGCAGGGTTTATTGGATAGAGTTTGTCATAAGCCTCTCTGTACTGCTGGGCAAACTTCTCTAGCTCCACATATGGGAAGAATTGACTGTGCACATGTTCCTGATGGCTTTTGAGAATAAGCATATTGGAGAAGAGTTTCCCGCACATTCCACACTCAAGCTTATCGTGTTCATTTGCACTTGTTCAACTCCCTCTTTGTCTTCTTTTGGTTTTTTTTGTCTGTTTTCATTTGTACTGGATGACCAGTACAAATCCAAAGTTCTCCAGTAGTGCTTTGGCTGCATTGCCCCTTGCTCCTGACACAATGCGTGGAGGAGGAATCGATGGCTCAGAGAATTTGGATTTCCGAGGGTCTTTGCCGTCTTTTCCTCCATCACCGAATGCCTCGGCTGCATTTTCCATCTTTGCTCGATTTTCTTTCTTTCCGAGTTGGTCCTCTGCATCTTTGACATCTGAATTTCAGACAAACAGCTGGGACTCCATTTTGGATTTGTGGTTCTGCAATTGCTGGATTTTCTGTTGCTGCATTTGCATTTGGTTCTGAGAGGCTTGCTGCTGCTGCTGCTGCTGCTGCTGAGCCTGCTGCTGGGCCTGAGCATGCTGCAGCTGGTGTTGCTGCTGCATCTGCTGTTTCAAGTCTTCTAGGAATGATCCAGTAAGACCAGGCATTCCAAAAGCTGCTGCTGAGTGCATTGCAAGTTCTGGGCTTAGGTTGAACTCTGCTCCTGGGATGTAGAAGGGAAAGAGGAACTGTGGCTGTTGAAATTGCAGAAGTGCTTCTGGGGTCATTGGGAAATGGGGGAAGAAAGCTGGATTCAGGAACTGAGGCTGGAAGAAGGCAGCCTGTTGCTGGAGCTCATGTTGAAGCTGCATTTGCAATTGGGCTGCAGACTGCGCTGACTGGTGGCTGGCTGCCTGTGCTGAAAGATGGTCAGTAGTCATGAGTTGCTTTGAGTTGTTGCTGCTGTTAGTTTCTTTGGGTTCCACAGTGTTTTCTTTGTTAGCAGACGGTGTTCCACTTCGAGCAGTGTCTGCGTGGCTGCTGTTCGCTTGCACGCTTGGGGATGGGCTTTTTGCAGTCACTGGGCCACTGGTGCCAGTGATACTGCTACTGCTGCTCATTTCGGTTTTGGCTGTTCTGGCTTTGGTCTGGTGGAGCACTGACCTCATATGAATTTCAAGAGTTGAGCTTTGGCTGTAGGCAACATTGCATGTATTGCATTTGAATGGTTTGTTGTCAATGCTGTTGCTCGTCTCTTGTGGGACTGGGCTTGACGCCTCTTGAAGAACCTTCTTCAACTTATGCAGGTGGGACACTGAATTATAGTGGACAAGTAGGATGTTCTTTTGGGTGAAGGACTCCTTACATACTGTGCACTTGTAAGGCCGTGAAGGGTCCAAGAATTTCTCCATCGTAAAGTTGGGCCCTTTCCTAAATGGTAGGGTCCTTTTTGGTTCTGATCCCATCTCATCAAGCAGAGATCCACTATCACTTTCAGTAGGACTAGGCTTTTCTTCCTGATCCATTTCCTCATCTTTGTCTAAGTCATGCTCAAAGGCCTGAGCTTCCTCCAAGGCCCTGGCTTCGCTCTCAGTGATATCTCCGTTCAGTGGCAGATTTCCTATGAGTTGCTGCACCTCAGCTTCACTTAGTTCAGGGTGCCCGGTCTCCAAATGCTTCTTGAGCGCCAGGAATGTCCTGAAGCTGCGCTGGCAAAGGCTGCACATAGTGGCTGCTCTAATGGCATGGTATTGGGAATGTATCTGAAGCTTCTGCATTGTCTTAAAGGCTAGGCTGCAGTGGTTGCAACGATATTTGTAGACATGACGCTCAGATACTGAGAGCTGCTGTTGTTGCTGCTGGAGCCTCTGGAGCTCACTGAGATGGTCCTGTAGGGTATCAGGGGACTTGCTATCATGTCCTAATCCGCTAGCTCTCTTCCAGCCTGGGGCCTCTGAGGCTTCCTTTGGGGGCTTAAGTTCCTCAGCCTGCAGATCCAATTCATTTTTGTCTTGGTTGTTCAGCTCATCCTTTGAGATGTTTCCTAAAAGTAGAAAATACAATTTGAAGTACAATAATACACAACATAATTTATTTTGCAATAATATTTTCCTGATATTTTCTTTTTCGAAAAACGGAATGAACCCAATTATTAAACATGTATATATTTATATAATAAAGTCAACAATAAATGACTGAGATATTAAATTCTGCTCACCTTGAGACTTCCCTGGCCCATCAGTAAGAGAGGTAGAGGAATCCATTGAAGACAGAACTTTGTCTTGTCCAGTTTGGGGATGCATTGTATTATTTGGTGTTGCTGTGTCAGGTCCAACAACCTATCAACACAAAATAACATTTATTATTATATGCATTTGTTAATGATGATACAACACTTTCTATATGTCTAGAAAACAATAATTTTAAGGGACACAATACACTTTTCCATTTTACCAGAATTTGCAAAAACATGTTTGCTGACACACATAAGCAAACAAACACACACATCTTCATAATCATTACTTCAACCTACATTCATAATCAGCTTTTCCACGCAGTCAGGGGCCACACTGTGGAGGTGGGTGAGATGCAGCTGCAGGTGAATCTTGTTGCTCAGGACATCCTGGCACAGTGGGCAGCGAATCACTGGCTGCATGGAATGCTGGGACATCACATGGAGCTGCATACGGTTGGCATCTTTACTGCTGTAGTTGCAATATGGACACTGCTGAACCTTAAAAAAAGAAGATGGAAAAATAAGTATCTGATTGGGACTGGAAAAAAATAACAGCATGTGCAGAAATAACTTTTAGCATAACGTGTCCTCTTAAGTGCCATACTTTTTTACAAAATAGAGCCTATAGCATGTTTACTAAAGAAGCCAGAGATCACCTCTCAAAAAAAAAGATTTTAAAACTGATGTCTTCTGCACTGTTAGCGGTCAAATCTGCTCATCTATAAAATCATCCTTTCTCTTCTGCACTGCCCACCTACCGCATCCCACCAACCTCCATACCCACCTTAACACAGAAAATGTAGATCAACCATGTTCATGTAATTCACTTAAGTCTCTCAACTTATGCAATTTTATTAGCAGAAAACACGAATGGCTAGAATTTCTAATCAGTATTACAGATGACAAGGTGTGTACTCTACCAAGCTGCGCCATGCCCTCATTACAGGGAGTACTCTGAACATAGCTGCCCTCCCCACCACCTGTCTTAATAGAATCCATTTCTGAAATGACTAAGTCCTCCCTCCTTGCAGGGCCCAGAAACCAGACAAGCTAATACTTCATAATCTAATTTAAAAAACACATATCATTTAAGAGATGCAAAAGGGGGAAAGAAGCAGGGAGGGAGGCCTAAGGCTAGTGCAGGTATTCCACTTAAGAGCACAAAGACTGGGATACTGCGCTTGATGCTAAAAAGCTCTGTCAGGGAGGGAATGCCGGGCAGCGTTTAACCCTTTGATAGAAAGCTGGCGCCAGCAATTGCTAAATGCTTAGCTTAGCATTTCTACTACTTACAGTTCATAAGTATCTTCCCATTAGCTCGTCCCAAAGTGACAGTGAAGGTTAGATTTCATTAGTGCTTATGAAGGAGAATCTGCTTCATTAACTATTGTCTTTTTGTAACAAACATGAATCAATCTATTTTGAATTGCCAGATATCCACTTTAATTAACTCAAGCTCAACAACATTCAGATATATTTTCATTAGAAAAGCGAAAATAAAAATCTTTACCTGCTCATTTGCAGAGGTCTTCCCCTCAGCAGACTTTGGCCTTTTGGGCGGGCTTTCGTTTTGCCGATCTGGCAGGAGGGAATGTTTCGCCATAGCATTCGGTCCGGTAACCTCTTTGGATGTGGCATTCATTCCTGGCAGACGGTGGAGGGAGGGAGAGAAGGGGAGACAAAGTCAGAACGTTAAACATTGAAAATGAAAACAACAGTTTTAAAAAAAAACACAAAGCTGCAAAATTACAAAATGATTGATGGCTAAACAGTAGATTTATGTTTTAAATTGAGCTTTTTGGAATTACTTCTGGAGCAAAATGACATATTAAACATAAGAGCCATGTCACTTTGATATATAGCGTCCCATAAATCACACATACATACTGTATGAGAAATATTATTTTAGAACATATCTAGTGCATAAAACTGAGCGAATACATTGAGATGTCTGACATTTTTTGGCTTCTAGTCCACAAAGTCAAAGGACTATTAACAAACATATTACATAGTTAATAAGATAAACACATTTACATCATTAATATTCAATGAGACATAGGTGATGATTAAAATAATGATTTGACACCAAGACAACACAAGCTTGGATACAACTGCATAATTCACATTCATATACACTGACGTGTTTCCGCCCTGAGGACATGTGAAATGGAGAAAAACTCGAGCAGGCTCATTATCACAGCAAGACATACATTAAATGTTATGGTAATATTATACACTTCATTAGTTCATATACATTTCCCCAGCTGCCTCGACAACTTCTCTGTCTGAACAAGATGCTACATTTCGGGGCTTGGTCACGCCTGGTGGTACAGTAGCGGCGCTGCTTGTGTGTATCTGTTTGTGTGTGTGCGTGTAAGCGTGTGTGACGTTAACAGCGGGGCTCAATGTGGAGAGATCAGCCTCTGGTTGTATTTAGTAAATGCTGCAGCCACTGATAAATCTTTCATTAGCCTCATCCTGAGATACAAGGCATGCAGGCTCTGCTATACTCTGCCACTGCAATTTACCCACTCGGCACAACACAAAGACACAGCGACTCTCCCTCCTTCCTTCCCTCCCCCCTCTCCCTTGCACTCTTCCTCCCTCTCTCCCTAAGCCATCACCCCCCTCCTCTTGCCTCCCCTCCCTCGTCTGGTCACTCAAGGCAATATGTGAGCCTCACTCTTGCGAATCAACGCTTCACGCTAGATGCACAAATGGAAAAAAAAGGGAAATCAAAGCACTGATACATGGAAAGGGGGGTTTGAAAAAAACATTTTGTATTTCATATTATTCTGTGGCTCGTGTTTGTATTGGGCGCATATCAATTCCTCCGGCCCGTTCATGCATTTTAATTCTGTTGCATTAAGTAGGCGTTCCACTTATTTTATTTGTAATCCCCTATATCTGGAGCCTGAAATATTGGCCTGTCAAGGAAAGTGACAAGAGAGAGAGAGGGAGAGGGAGGGAGGAAGAAAGAGAGGGAGAGCGGAGAATACAAAAAAAACACAAGGGCACAATGTGAATTTCCAAGAACATCCGAGAATTGCTCTGCAGCTCAGAATAGTGAGGTAATCTCGTCTTCCACTGCTTGTGATGGCCCCTGCAGGGCTTATGTGTGTGTGTTTCTGTGTCCATGCATGTGTGTGTGCTTCATGACAGGCCTGTGACACTTCATTGGTCAGATGGGTGCAGCCTAGAAGCACCCGTCTCATCACCTGACCTTTTCCAAAGCCTCCGCCCGCCCGCTATATTTGTTATGACCATTTCTAATTTCAACTTTCAATTTTTGCCCCCGTCTTGCAGTCAATTTGCAACTAAATTACATCCCTGCAAAAGGAGATGAGGCGATTGTCAGACAAGGGGGCTGAAAACACATTTACAATGCGGCGGGGGAAAGAGCCCACAGATCACCTTTGATTACTGTCATATCCAATGTAAATATATAGTATGTTTGTGTATCATGTGTGTGTGCCTGCGACACGTAGATCTGTCCTTCTGGTTTAGATTTGCCTACGACCTCGCGCTTTCATCAACACTTGTGACACCCGTGTGGAGTAGAAGAAAAAACGTTGGTTAACCTTGAATGTTGAGAGAGCAGTTGTCTCTATGGCCACTTAGGAGCTTGAAATGGCAAGGCCTACGAATGTGAATAATAACGTTGTTTTGTGACATAGAACGGCATGCAAAATTGTAGAATATCCTCCAGATATGATCACCTGTATCACAAATACATTTGGCGGCTTGAACAACCCAAACTCTATCCACTTATACGAGAAAACCACATATCCTTGTAAGCAGTTTCACATCCTCTTATTTTCCTTTGTCTCTGCGCCACACATTTAATGTCCCTTTTCCTGCCTATTCTTTCCCCTCCATCCCTTCATCTTTAGGTGGGCTCCACCAGCTGCAGCCCAGTGAAGCGGAGGGGCAGAATAAACCTGACACCGTTCCCCCCCCCCCCCCACCAATGACAAATGTCTGCATGCAGCAGGACCTTGCTTGATTAGATAAATCAAAAGGTGATTTATGACACTCAACCCCTTTTGCATTGCAGGGGGAGAGAGCGGCACACTCACCACCCATCTTTATTTGCAACTGTCAATGGTGTTTAGGGAGCTGCATACACACACTTCTGTACAGACAAGTGGGCGCTCCAATGGAGTACCGAGGTAGAGAAACAGAAATGATAGAAAGGGAGAGAGAAGCTCTAAACACCTCAGGATATTTCTGTCTCAAATTGTTCCTCAAAAGGCAGGGGCACCATCATGGCTAATGCTTTTTCACAATTTGCTTTAGAATCTGCCCTTTGTGTCGAAAGGGTGAGACTTTCTGTGCAAACTGAACCAAGCCAATTCGATTTTCACCCAAATAAACATATCATTGAATCCTTATATTCCTCCAACTTCAACACAATCTTTTTTTGTACAAGCTGCAAAACAATTAGATTCCATTCCTGACATTTTGAAAATAAAAAAGGCCCATAAACAGAGCAGAAGAGCATAGTGTTGGGAGGCGGGGGGGCTGTCAATTAAGAAGGAGCAGGCTGGGTGGCGGCAGCTTGGATTTAGTATTCAATTTAGCTGTCCTGAGCCCTGGCAGACTGGCTAAGGTTACAGAGTAGTAAATCTAGGAGGGAGAGCTGGCCAAAACAGGCGAGGGAGGGCCGGCCAGCATGATTTACTGGCCTACTGCTCCGAGGTTACGCATTAGGCTGACCCCCGGTCACCTGATAACATTACAGCAACACACTCTGAACCCCAAACTCCCACTGAAGCACTCAGCAGGCCCGGATCTAGCCGGAGGGAGGCAGACAGAAAGAGTGGGAAGGAGTGAGATGTAGAGAAATAGTCAGATGTTGAGGGAGAGAAAAGGCAGTTAAACAGCAGCTGTCTTGTAGTTTGTGTTTTTTTAATGACTAGCCCTCCTTTTCTCTGCCATCTCCAGCTCGTCTTCTAATGAGAGATAAATATGAGCATGGCCTTGTCACATTTGACAAATCGTCTGAGACGTTCAACAAGCTGTCATTACTCAGAAAAGCACACATACATGCACAAAGAAATAGCTGCAGGCCTGTAATTAAACATGCTAATAACTTTAATATATTTTAATCTCATTTTGGGGAGACAGGAAAAGGAGCACAGCTCTCAACTCGAAGTGGAATCATTTGCAAGATGCATGCAAATAATAAAGAAAAGACTGAAAATATTCTAAATGTACATGATGATGAACAAGCTAATATGGAATATCTAACATCTGATTTGCATGCGATTCCACTTGGTCTCCCACCCATAGCTGCCCAATGCAAAATTGTACTGGAAATTAATACATAATTTGCCTGTAAGAACAATGAGTCATTTCTTTGCTAATTTGAAGCAGGTAGAGATCTCCTAAGTGTGCCTGACAGGCTCATTTCCATGGGAGGGCCTTTGTTTAGTTGGTTATTTATAAGAAGTGGGGCCCTGAGCCATGGTCGTGACATGCACCATCTACACACAGCACAAAGCTATCTGGAAGTAATCCACATCGGGGACATTTGCATGGAAAATGTAACATGGATTATAATTAATCTAAAGTGACATGGGATTATAAAAGACAACGTAAATGAAGCAAAGGGGAAAGAACTCTCTGTGTCTTTCCTTGCCCCTCCCCCCCATATGTATTTCTCTGTCTCTCTTTCCCCCTCTCCATCTATCTGCCCCTCTTTGTTTAAAGGATCTCGGTCTTGGAGATGAAGTGCGCAAACACACTGCTCAGTTGGTCACACTTTAATCCCATCCCTGGAGATCTCCACACACACACCACACACACACACACAACACACACACACACACACACAACACACACACACACACACACACACACACACACACACACACACACACACACACACACACACACACACACACACACACAACACACACACAACCCCAACACCACACACACACACACCCACACACACCACACACACACACACACACACACACACAGCTTGCCAGAGATTGGGTCTGAGGATAGAGATGCTAAATCTTACTACTTACGCTGGAAACAGAGAAAAACAAGGCCCTGTCTCTGATGATAACCCTAGCATAACAACGCGCTGACACTCCACGCTCCCTTTTGCGTTTCCTGGCATTTTGACTTTCTGAAACCTCATGTAATCCAAATGCAAAAATAAATCACCACTAGCGATAATACATCTGGCTTTCTAGCCAAATTTGCAGCCGACCCCGATGCAACAAATTATTCAAAAAGGTTCTGCTTTATTAAATACATTCCTGACATCTGATAAACCACACTAGGGGACACGCACATACGTAAGCGTGATTTAAAGAAGGAGGAACCTGGACACTTTTTTTGTGTGCGGTGGTGTTAAATGACGCCGGCAGTAATATGCGGCGGTAAATGCATGGATGGTGGTTCCCCGCCAGTCCGTCAGACAGGCCTGTCAGAGAGATAGAGCTGAAAGATAGATGACTAGCTAAACTAATAGGCCCCAGCCTCACTCAGCTCTCCTTCTGCCTCATTGAGCCTCACATTATGGAGCTAGGTATGGCATGCTAGGAAGAGGAGGTGGGGAGGGAGTTTGAGATGGATAGAGGAAGGTGTGTGAGTTGGGGGGGGGGGGGATTGAGTGGGGCAGGATACATTAGTAGAGGGAGAAAGAATGAGAAAGAGAACCCCATGCAATGACAGAGAGAAAAAAAAAAAGCACCCCATGCAATATTCATCCCCAGCCATGGATTTCCATCTCATACATAAAAAGACCATATGAATTCTTATTTGGGTAAATCAAATCTAACAAAGCCAGGGCTATCCCAACCACAGCCTTGCAGCGGAGGCATTATGTGCTCCCTACCTCGCCCCAAAATAACAAAAAACACCAAGCCGTCTTGTAGGGATTGTGGCCCCTCCCCGCTTACAGTATTGCCATTCTTACAAATGGATAAACAGTGCTTTCTATCGTGTGCTCTTTTGCTATCTGAGGTAATGCCCGGTGATAGGGTCACAGATTGGACAACAATTAAGGGATGGATTGAGACGGGGGAAAAACAGGAGAGAAAGAAAAATGAAGGGAGGGAAAAAAACTAATTTAAGTGTTGCAAGGATGCGGTGCAATATTAGAAAAACATATACACAGCCCCCCCCCCATCTAATCCTGCGCTTATGAAAAATTAATATGTCATCGGAGAGGGCACAAGAACGAGAAAAGATTAATGCAAGGCGCTTATAAATTACAAGCACGCAAACTGATTTGATTAAAAAATAATCTGGGGCCTGGACATTGCCTGGTAATATCCACAACACTCAACTTATCCCTTTTTTTCTCTCTCTCCTTCTTACCCGGTCTTTCTCTTTTTCTCTTTCTGTCAGATGGAAACGATTAAAGCAGGTCACATGGAGGCTAGTCAGCAGCGTCCACATGTTACACACACATGTTAGAAACCTTATCTAAAGGCGAGAGAGAGATGGACGATAACTTATAAAAGAAGGGAAGCTTGCGTTTCATATGTGTTTTGTATGCGTGTTTGTGTGTGTACAGTGTGTGTGAGTGTGTGTACTTACGGTCAGTTCTCCTGCTGTCAGTCGAGTCTCGGTCAGTGAGGTTGAGTCCAGGCCCGGAGGAAGAGCGAGGGGGTCTCTCACCATCCTCAGCAGTGTCTTCTGAAAATGAACAGAAGAAAGGTCTACATTACCCATAATGCTCCTGAAAAAACGACGAACTGCCAGAAAACAGGGAAGTTGTTGACAAAAAACACTCATTTTGGTTTCCTTGCTACAGAAGGAATTTTAAAAACCATGTATGTACTTTAAGAAAAAACCTAATATTATTTACTGGTTTATACATTTCCTCAAAAAATTTAAAATATTTCCCCTTTCCTTCCATATATTCTCATACATTAATTCTTATTCTTCTTATTTCAGGTTAGAGAGCTGTTAATTATACATGAAAACATTTTACTCTTTCAATATAAAACACTATTGAATGAAAATGCTATCCATTCTACTTTATTAGAGACCAGTAATAACAGTATCCTATAGCCCATGCCTGCTCAACTCTATAAAGCCAAAGTGAAAATTAAAAATCCATGCAGAGAGTGTGTAGATGTTCACTACCGTACTGCATATAGATATTGTATTACCTCTGTTAAAAATATGCGCGCATGCACAGACACACACATGCAAACCAACACACACACGTGCAGCTCTGTACTATTAGCAGATTAGCCTGCCCATCTCTGAGAGTTCAGCCCCTTGTTTGATAATTCTGTGTATCTGCAGTGTTCTGCCAGTGGATTAAACGGTGTGTGTGCGTGTGTGTGAGAGAGAGAGAGAGAGAGAGAGAGAGAGACAGAGAGAGAGAGAGAGAGAGAGAGAAAGTGTGTGTGGACAAGTGTGTATGTGTGTATATGTGTCGCCAGCGCAAGCTAACACTAATCCTAGCCGAGCCCCAGCGCTCCCTTTCATCCAGCCATCATTTGTCTCCGGCTGGGCTGATGTCACTTTGTAATGAATTTTGAGCAGTCTGAGAGAGGCCAGATAACCAGGCATGCACACACACACATAACACACACACACACACACACACACACACACACACACACACACACACACACACACACACACACACACACACACACACACACACACACACACACACACACACACACACACACACACACACACACACACACACACACACACACACACACACACACACACACAACCCTCCTCCATCTCAGAGTAGCACACACAAATGCAAAATCAAACAGAAACACTTGCACACAGGCGTCAAATCATACACACACGGTATCATATTCACACACACACACAAAACGCAAAACCGTTAAAAATTTCATGTCTTCTAAACGGGGGGAAGGGGGGGGTCTCTCTCACCACAAACCCCTCACTCTGCCAGGGAAGGGAACTGGTGAATGTGTGTGTTTGTGTGTAAAATAGCTGCGCTCATCAATCCTGCTTTGCCTTAATAACCATATTTTACAACACACACACACACACACACACACGCACACACACACACTCACACTCATATTCATAGAAATCAGGCAAAGGGTGCATTGAGGTCAGCCTGCATTTGCATACAATCACTTTGGCCATTGTATGACGAGAACAGGGGTCTGCGAAACCCCCCTCGGAAACATGATATGATTAACCCTTTCGCATACAGCAGAGTGCACACACATGCAACCACACACACACACCAACACACACAGACAGACACATAGACTAAGTGCTGGCGCCGTTTCTCTAAGCGCCAACACATTAAGTGGACATTATATACAGCATGAAATTTTCATGGCAGATGCTGGCATGTGATTGAGGAGAAAAATCGTGACTGTGTGTGTTTTTGTCCATGTTGTATTTTTTGCACATGCGTGTGAGTGCTGTACACATTTTGTACACACAGTCTATTTCAAGGTGTATGTGTGTGTCCTTGTGCATGTGTGTGTTTGTGTGTGTGAGAGAGACTGGGACTGCACTCTGCTCCTGATGTTTTATTAATACGTTGGTGACAACGGGGATGAAATATCTCCTGTCAGCCAAGAGAGCCCGGGCTGCAGAAATTGCCATTTTCACTGCCGGTGCTGCAGCGTCCATCTTTGTATTTTAATTCACCCCACCTTCTTACGGAGGGAAGGGGGAAGGCAAGCATGTGTGTGTGCTTTTGTGTAAATGTTGTGGTGTGAAGTGGGTTTGAAAGTCTTTCATCACTGGTTTATCTTTTCTCTATAGTTGACTTTTGTTCGATGCCAAGGAGAAGCAAATGGCACAAATCGAACAGCATTTTTCACAGAAGAGTGAGAAGAGAAGGGGAGGAAAGGGGGGTGATAAACAGAAATTCAGTGAGAGAAAAATAAACTCTAAGATCTCACATATATACTGCAAGGTCAGGACAATGTCTCAAAGGAAATAATTTATAAAAACGCCAAACGCAGAAGAAAGAAAAAACATAGTTGTATCTCTTTGTCATGGACTGCTTTCATTCCTTCCCTGCACTGCATGTAAAAATGTAAAACACAATCGCTCTGATCGAAAACTACCTGCTTTTGCTAATTACTTTTAAACTGTTATTATTATGTTTGTTATAATATCACTATAATAATAAACTGTAGCTTTTATTGCATACCATAAATACATTTATTTTCATAACTCCTGTGGCTTTACCATGAGCACATTCTCGACAACATACTCAGAGTAATTAGTTTATGTAATTCAAATAAAAACTATTTTGATACTGCTTGATATGATGTTTGCAAGAGATGACTGCATATGTTATATTATCATTTTAAAGCAATTCAACTTTAAAGTTACGTTTTTCTTAAACAACAAGGAGCAGAGGACGAGTGTGGGGTGGTAGATGATCATGACGTCCACCATCTTAACAAACCTCTAGGGGGCAGTCTACCTGTAGCTAGATAGGACACAAGAGAGAAGAGACAATGAACAGAGAGAGGGAACAGAGGGAGGAATGAGGGTGAAGAGTGGGTGAAGAAAGAGAAAAAGACAGAGAAAAGGAGGGGTGATCATCTGGGCCTCATCAGTGGGGTTTTTTCTCACTCCTTTCCCCTGTAGTCGGTTAGATCTATGGTGTGTGTGTGTGTGTGTGTGTGTGTGTGTGTGCGTGCGTGCATGGGGGAAATGTGTTTCCACGCTGAGGACATTCCCAGACGAGTTCTCCCGATACATCAGTGCAGCGTCTGCCCTCTGACTGACCCTGACAGTCACACACAGCACGAGTGTGTGTGTGCGTGCGCGTGTGTTTATGTGGATGCGCGCCATTGATCAAGTGAGTGAGACAGTGACTGCATGTGTTTGCATGTGAGTTGTCATGTGCAAGTGTGTGTGTGAGAGAAACAGTGAGACAGAGGAGAGGGTTCTGCAGCAGGGACTCTTAACCATCAACTTAATCGCTACCAGAGAACGTGCAGAGCAAAACATTCGCAGTCACCTCACACACCACACACACACACACACACACACACACACACACACACACACACACACACACACACACACACACACACACACACACACACACACACACACACACACACACACACACACACACACACACACACACACACACACACACACACACACACACACACACACACACACACGGAGTGGGTCAGGCTGTGGAGGGTGTGTGATTTTGGAAGCCTGGTGGGACTCTCTTTGATGTGGGTCGGTCGGAACATTAAAGCCGGCCGGTGAACTCGAGCTAACCACAGACCATGGGTCCGATTACCCTGCAACCAACACCGGCCTATATTTAACCGTTAAGAGAGGAAGAGTAATTAAGTGAGTCTTGATCAGGGACGAAAGCCAAATCTGCTTTAACTTTTTAACTATTAATTGGATGCCAGTGTAACCGCTGGATGAAAAACTCTCCTGTTCTTCCAATACAAAAAATCAACCAAACATGATGACTAATTCTTAGGAGACAATATGTTCTGAATTATTGCTGATTTGAGTACAAATATCTAGTCGAAAACATCACAGTCAGAAACAGTTTCGGACAGAAGGAAAGGAAGATATATAAAAAGAGATGTTTGGAAAGAAAGAATAGACATATGGGAGATGGAGGCAATGGAGGATGTATTGAAAGTGTCAGTGTGTGTGTGTGTGCCCTCGAGCTGTATAATGACCTGCTCTGAGACCACTCGCTCCCCTTCCCCTCTCCCCCTGAGGGCCCATAACCGCCATGCCGGGTCATTATGTGCCCGGTGGAGGACTCAGCCGTATGGCACACAACCGTAGAGCAGTGCCACGCGGAGCAACTGGACACAGAGGCTCCAAAAATGGCTGAATTCATTAGCCGGGGCCGAGCTGCCTCTAATTTGCTTCCTTAGGGCTAGGATGGTGCTCATTAAAGGGGGTAAAAATAAATCCTTTTTACATTATTGTTTATCTTAAATCATATGAAAGCATCAAGATAAAGGGTAATTGATGCCAAAGAAAATATCATGAGGAGAAATAAGAGAAATGCTATAAGACTAAGAAGAAGCTGTAAGGACCAGTGGTGGAAGAAGTACTCAAGTAGCAATACTACATTCATGGCCCTATGTTACAGTACAAAAATATCGGCATCAAGTTATACTTAAGTATTAGTAGTAAAGTACTGAGTATATTGAGTTACTATTATGATTATAATCTGTAAAGTAGCATTAATGTTTTTTGCGTAACACCCATGACGGCCATGTCTCCACCACTTAACGTTGATGTTGACGTTGATTCCTTCCTACAACTCTGGTCATGTCCCCTGTGAGATCACGTGTGTGTGTGTGTGTGTGTGTGTGTGTGTGTGTGTGTGTGTGTGTGTGTGTGTGTGTGTGTGTGTGTGTGTGTGTTTGTGTGGAGGAATAGGGGCCCTGTGATGTCACATTCCTGCGCCGCGCGTGGCTCTAGTTTGGCCTCTAGGTTTTAAAGGGGAAAGCTTTGAAACATTACACCATCACACACACACACACACACACACACACACACACACACACACACACACACACACCCACACACACACCACACCACACACACACACACACACACACACACACACACACACACACACACACACACACACACACACACCACACACACACACACATAGTCAAGGGCCAGTGGTAATACTGCCAGGGTAATAA